GCGGCCGCCGAGGGGAGGTCCGTCCGCAGGAGAGGCGGCAGTGGTTATGCGTGACACCTCCGCTGCTGGCAGGTGGAGGTGCGAGGGGCAGGGCCGTAAAGGCCGTGGCCCGCCCTGGACGGGGCGGCGGGGCGGGGGGGGGGGGGGGGGGCGGTCAGCGGGGGAGGGGAGGGGAGGCCGAGGGGAAGTTGGTCGGCGGCGGCGGCGGCTTCTTCCTGCTCCGGCGGGGCGAGCGGCGCCTTCCCTCAGCCTCCTGCTGGCGGTGACAGCGACAGCCCGGCCAGAGCGCCGCCGCGCCGCGGTGCAGCATGGGAAACACGCCCGGAGGACCGGCGGGCGCCCGGGCGCGGCGGGCCGGGCAGGGGAAGCGGGGAGAAGGGGGAAACCGGGCCGGGGCGGGCGGTACCGGGTTATGCGGGGGTCAAGGGGCAGGCGCTGCCCCCCGTGCCGGCGCTGAGGGGAGGTGAGGTGGGGCGGGCAGGGGGCCGTGGTGCCGGCTGAGGGGCCTCCTCGTCCCGCTGTCCCTCCGGCGGCTCCATCGCCAGGTCGGGCCTGGGTGCCGGGGAGGAGGCTGAAGGAACCCCCGGTCCCCCGCACTGGGCCCGGTTCCCCTCTCGCCGGTCCCCTCACGGACCCTTCTTCCCCCCCTCGGTGAGGCCGGGGCGGAGGGGTGCGGGCCCGCTGCAGGAGGCCCCAGGACACCCGTGTGCCCACGGAGGTGGTGGCTGTGGGACCCCGAGGGCCTCCCGGTCCATCCAGGAGTCCCGAGATGGAGGTTTCCGCCGTGTCATCGCCACGGTCGTGATGTCCTCCGCGACCCCACCATTTGGAGGATCGCTGGGGACCAAGTCTGGTTCCTTGGAGCAGCCTCTCCACCCAAACCGCGCCTTGACAGCTTGGGCTGTGCCTCTCGCATCCCTCCGCTGCACCTCTCTGAGGGGTTACCAACATGTCCACCTCTCTTCTAAATAAAGCCTGGCGCCCAGCAGCGCGCTGAAACACGTGCTTCACCAAATTGCTTTGTGTATGTCACTTGCGTATAATTAAGCACGTGCTGAAGTGCTCGGCTGGATCGAAGCCAAAATCTGCCTAAGTTCTATCGGTGTAAAATTTACCAGCTTCATGGGGCTTGGCTTTGTGAGTCATTCCAGCAGCAGCAGCAGCCCAAAGCCTTGTGCGACGGGCTCAGTTGTTCCCAGGTTGTCCTACGGGATCACCCTGTCTCCACGACAAGGCTTATGCCCTTCGCTCGGGACCTGCTAGAAGTAAGATGCATCTGCCTGGTGAGTCAGCTTCACCTAGGGTTTCTAGTTCCCTTAATGAGATGCATTAATAAGGTTCTGCATCCTTATGCGGGTCACAGATTGTGCCATCCAGTTACAGTGTAATAAATTGCACTAAGAAGAAAATATTAATGACATTAAGACCCGGTTTCAAGGCCTGCCCTGACCTTATGCAATGTGTGTATTTCAAAATAATTGCATTGAGTGCTTGATCTGTATGAACAGAGGAAGGAGTTAATAAAATGTGGCTGCATTTCATGCAGTCATCTACAGTTTTACATACATACAAGAAGTGTCATTAACCTGCCTGCTGAATAAAATGGGAAACTTTTATTTTCCAAAAATAGAGTTTTAGAAACTGAAGGAAGATGTACATTTATGCAGCTTTGATATTTTTTTTTTTCCTTCAAAGACAATTAATTTGGTGACTCTATTCATTTTTACCTGTCAAAAAAAAAAATCTTTTGAATTTCATTAAGTCTGAGTCAGGAAGCTCAGCACTAAAACCTTATTTTAAAATACACTGAGGAATTAAAGCTTTCTGCAGGGTGAGCACAAGTCTTTCTCCAAGGACACATCAATTGGAACCTGCTTTTCGAAAAATTTTGTTTGGCAATTAACAGTGTAATATGAAGAAAGATTGTCTTGTGTTTAAAGCAAAGAAGTAAGACTCAGCATATTTGGGCTCTGTTCGTTAGTCTCCTACCATTCTTCTGTGACCTGAATCAAGGCATGCTCCAGTTTTCAAATGTCAGTTTGGGTTAGGGTGGAGGTTTCTGTTGTTGTTTTAAGAGGAACTCAGCACCTACAAATTGTCAAGTTCACTGAGGATCTTGCAGGGCTTTGTTCCTCTGGAAGTCTCCCCCAACGGTGGCACGAGTAGTAAAGGAACACGTCAGACCTTGGGCCTTTACCTCTTTGCCACCCGTATTTTCAAAGGATGGTAATTCCTCACCGAGTCACAGAGCTCCAGCACCGTCATCATTCCTATTAGTGTTTTGACACACATTTAATACTGCAGTGTTTATTTATTAATATTAGTGTTTTGACATAGCAAAATATAAAAGTAGTATGTAAAGTCAGTAGCTTGAGAAGCTTAAAAGAGCACTTGCATTTTGACCTATTTTTTTTTTCCTTACGCTGCTCTGTAAATAGCAGACAAACTCTGCTTTTCCCTAGGGACAAAATTTAATAGTCTTTAATATAGTCTTCCCTCTCCCTTCTGAATTCCAGAAGTTGCCCACCCATGAGAAACCCTCTAAAAGGCAACATATGCACAGCGTGGAGCTGAGTATGTTTCAGTTTTCTTTTTTTAGAAGGGCTAAATAATGGAAAGTAAAGGCACCTTTTTTTCCCCCTCCTTTTTCTGTATAAATCCAGAAAATGAGAAAAGCAGGAAGCACAAGCGGGCTATATATTGAAACAAGTGGCTTTGGGGAATTGTTGGAGAATATATGTGTGTTTTAAAAGTTCTTAAACAGGACATGGCCTCAGAAATAACTGTGCAGCACAAGCAGAACTGTCTTATTTGGTGTCCTGTATGAGAAACTCAAGGACTTCATTCAAGAGTTTCTGCGTCAGGCCCGTAACCTCTAGTCAAGCAGCAGCTTGATCTGGAAAAATTCAAGATCAAGCTGGAATTGATCTCAAATCTTGGAATTTGAGAGAGAAGTGCACAAGTTAGGTAGGTTTTTGAGATGGCCTCTTAGCCTAATTCTTAAAGTTACGCCTTTGTATTTGTCTGAATTCATCTGGCCTCAGCTTAGTATTCTTAGTTCTTCAAAAACACACAATTGACTTTTCTAGAGTTAAAAAAAATAATAATCTGTTGAACTATTCACGTCTGTATGTGGTTACAGGATCAGGCCAAAGGAAATGTGAAAAGCAATCAGCACATCAAGTATCAGTATTTTTACTGAGTGTTTTATAACAATGCTTCATCTTAAAAGAAACACACTTGAAAACTATCAGTGAAGAATTCATGACAGTAATGTATAGATAGAGAACACTGCCTGAAAAATCTTTATGTTCTCAAAAAAAGGTATTTACAAACAGAAAGTTCAAACCCAAGGTAAATCCAAGAGAAAGCATGGGGCATTAAGGTGTGAAAATACACAATTCATCTTCCCAAACAATGCTCAACCACCATTTTTTGTGCCTGTGGAATCATCAAATAATCAAAGTTAGTAACTTTGGTGCAGGGTGAGATTTAACTTGATTTTCAGAGATAACAGATGTGTTCTCCCCCACCCACTTGAGTTACTCTTCTCTCGTGAATGTTAGTTTAAGTTTCATTATCCATGTGTCTCACCAGGCTACACACTGGGCATCACCTGCAATTTTGCCTGGAAACCCTGTGACAAAAATGAGCACCAAATTACAACTGCATAAAGGAACGGTAATCATCATTGGGACTAAGCCCAGGATGGAGAGTGAGAAATAAATATAAACTGGTTTATGGTAAATGGCTTGTCGCCACAGAAGTGGAAATAAACACTACTTAGTCCTCGTAGCAGATTTATGTCTCATTCCCTGTTCAGCAACAGAGCCAAACACATTTGTAGCTTCAAAAATGCAAATACCCCATTGAATTAAATGGAGCCATCAGATATTGAATCAGAAAAAAACCTAAATGCCTTCTTCAATTTCTCTCCTCCCCTCCTTTCTGGGACCACTGAGATCGCTGTAAGCATCGTTAATACTAGTACGTGCCAGTGATACAATGAACGATGGTTCAGAAATGCCTAGATGAATGCCTGGCATTTCAACAGTGGATGCAGTCGGGGAATGATTGCTATGGAAAGCTAGAAAATCTCCTTCCATCCATTTTTCTTCCCAATTCAACTATTTCACCAGGGCTTTAACAAGCACAAATATTCAATGCAGAAAATTAAATGAGTCCATTGTCTGAGCACCCACACACATTGTCTGTAAATTGCTCCTCTTCATTTCAGCATCCCTGATTGAATTTGTGTTTTAATTATATTTTTTTTCCCTCTCATAGCAGGCTTTCAATTCATGGTCCCACATAAGCCCTGCTCGATTGAGTCTGCGTTGCCCTGAAGTGAATTAATCATAATGCTCTCAGTCACGTCGTACGGTACGCTTGTCCTGACACTAACTGATGTAGGGAAGTGTGATGTTATGGTATGTCTCAAAATACCCATGCATCTGATGCATGGAAACAAAAAGAATTAATTATGGAAAATATCGGTCAGAAGGAGAGGGTGCGTGAGCTCTGTTCCAAAATCTTTTCCGCTCCCAAATCTATTTAGAGGAGAACACTGTTCAGCTTCCACCTGAGCCCTGAAGAAGTCTTCTTATCAGATTAGTTTCTAATGCCACAAACGCGCCTGACTTGACTCATTCATTTATTTTTTACAATAATACAGTAGCTTGAAGTGCTTTAAAACTTGAGCTGAAGACATCAC